CCAGTCATACCCCTTTTTCTCCAATCCCGTTTCTACCCGGCTCTCCACACTTGGTTGAACCTAAATATTAACATGGTCAATGTCTCCGGTATCTTTGGGTCTTCATTCTGAAGGTTCTTGTGTACGCGTGTTAAATAAACGTGTGCGCCTTTTCTCCTATTACTCTGCCTGCTGTTAGTACGCGTGTTAAATAAACGTGTGCGCCTTTTCTCCTATTACTCTGCCTGCTGTTAGTACGCGTGTTAAATAAACGCGTGCGCCTTTTCTCCTATTACTCTGCCTGCTGTTAGTACCTTTTCTCCTATTACTCTGCCTGCTGTTAGTACGCGTGTTAAATAAACGCGTGCGCCTTTTCTCCTATTACTCTGCCTGCTGTTAGTACGCGTGTTAAATAAACGTGTGTGCCTTTTCTCCTATTACTCTGCCTGCTGTTAGTTGTTTTTTCAGCGAAACTCAAGAGGCCCCAAGGGGAAAACTCTCCCTTGGCCCCCACGAAACCATCTGGCATCAAGGGCCTCACGCAGGGACTGCAGACCTCTGCGGAGCTGGCGCCCAGGCTGGGCTCGGTCCTGCTGTGCTGTGAGGTGATGGTCCCTGCACGTCGGAAGCCACCTCTTTGCCGGATGGGTGTGAACTGTGACCCTGGCCCTTGCTCACCCTTCTTTGCCATTGTGCCACCTCTTGCACCCCCCTGGGTCCCTCAGGGCTCTCCTGTCTGTCACCACAGCCAGCTCCATGTGGCCCGACCACCCTCACACAGATGCACCGAGAAGGCCTGCCCTGGAGCCCACACCCTGATGCCTTCTCCGCCTGGGCCGCCCTGTGGGTGTGGTCGCATGGCCTCGGCACATGCAGCTGGACACATGCACTCTGGCATCCCACGGGAAGGAGCTGAGACCAATGGGCCACGCACATCAGCCAGTAAACATTCCTTCCTGCTCTACTCAACCCCACAGACAGCCCTGAGATGTACTGGGTACCTCCACTCAGACAGCCCTGCAGGATGGAGCTCCAGTGGCCTGTCCCAAAGGCCAGCACGCTGGGGCAGTGGTGCCTGCGCTCGCTCCCCTCACTGCCCGGCCCCCATCCCTCACTCCTCTTCCCTGGGATGAAGCTCCTGCATGAAGAACACACATGTGAGCCTTTGCCTCAGGCTGTGCCCCTGACTGGGTCAGCCACATAGGAAATTCCCACAATAGTTAAGTTGGAATCTGCGAGCAGTAACAAGAAGTTTGTTCGTGCATCCTTTAAACCTACACCTTGCTTCTATTAATGAACCAGGCATTAGCACCAGGCACCAGGAAGGGGAAATGCAGGCACACGGACCAGGTCCTTGAGTCTAGCTGGGAAGGGGGAGGTCAGAAGACAGAAGAGGAAAGAAATCAAGAGAATGTATTTACGGTTTGCAGAAGGTGCTGTGGAACTCCAGGAGGGTTCTCACTGCTCCATGTGCTAGTCAGGGTGCGAGGCAGCTGGAACTCCCACACATGCTGTGGGAACGCAAAGGGGTTGGCCTCACTAGAAAACGGGGTGGCAGTTTCTTTTAAAATAAAATCCACACCCACCGTATGACACAGCAGTGCCACTCAAGAGAAGGAAATCCACCCAGAGAATAAAAACCGAAGTTCACAGAAAACCATGTACTCAAAAGTGTCTAGAGTAGCTTTTTGGGTTTGTTTTTGTTTTTGTTTTTCTGAAATAGGGTCTGGCTCTGTCACTGAGGCTGGAGTGCAGTGGTGCAATCTCAGCTCACTGCAACCTCCACCTCCCAGGCTCAAGCAATCCTCCTGCCTCAGCCTCCCAAGTAGCTGGGACTACAGGCACACACTATCACGCCCAGCTAATTTTTGTATTTTTTGTAGAGACGGGATTTTGCCATGTTGCCCAGGCTGGTCTCGAACTCCTGGGCTCAAGCAGTCCACCCTCCTTGGCCTTTCAAAGTGCTGGGATTACAGGCGTGAGCCACCACGCCCAGCCAAATGCAATGAACTACTGATGCACAGAGCAACTTGGGTGCACCACAGAGGCATTACGCTGTGTGAGACAAGCCAGTCTCGAACGGTGGCGTACGATCGGATTCTGTGTATACGACAGCCCCAAAAACACAAGACCATAGGGATGGAGACAAGATCAGTCCTTGCCAGGACCGGGGGAGGGTGGCCACGAAAGAACAGCTGAGAAAGGTCTGTAACGCAGCTGTCCTGTACTCTGACTGCAGTGGCAGTTACATAAATCTACTTATGTGTTAAAATCCATAGAAAGCTACATCCAAAGGAAAAGTCAGTTTTGCTCTATGATAAAAAAAAAAAAAAGAGAAAGAGTCAATGCTGTGTCTAGTTTAGGATTCTTAAATGAAGAAATGTTATCTGATGTCACATTTTGTTTCATAACGCGTTATTTTTTCATGACAGCACCCTGTGTTATATGCAATTACATTGTGTTATAATGTCACGTAGTGGACAGTGTATGCACTGTATTAGATGATGTCACGTGTTACATCATGCACATCGTGTGATATGACGTCACTTCTGTTATATGACATCACATTGAACAAGGCTCAACTTCCACAGCAGGACACACTGAAAACAGAACTTCTGGCCGGGCGTAGTGGCTCACGCCTATAATCCCAGCACTTTGGGAGGCTGAGGTGGGAGGATCACCTGAGGTCAGCAGTTTGAGATCCGTCTGGCCAACATAGTGAAACTCCAGCTCTACTAAAACTACAAAAATTAGCCAGGAGTGGTGGCGCATTCCCGTAATCCCAGCTACTTTGGAGGCTGAGACACGAGAATTGCTTGAGCCCAGGAGGCAGAGTCTGCACTGAGCTGAGATTGCACCACTGCACTCCAGCCTGAGCAACAGAGTGAGACTCTGTCTCAAAAATATTTAAAAAAAAACACTGTTACATGTAAAAAAATTAAAAAGAAAACAGAACTTCGCCAAAGATAAATGATCACGTTGCTACTGGCTGAAGCCCTGGGAAGATCTTGTGTCCATTTTGCCCCCTGTTCTATCAGAAAAGTTCTTATCACTCTAAGGAAACTGTATTCCATTAAAATATATGCCAATCAAACTCTTCTCCTAGCCAACCTAACTTATCCTGATGAATATGCAAATATCTGGATCCCCAGATAAAATCACCTGAACGCAAACCCCAACTAAAAACAAAACAGGATTTAAAAGCAGAAAATAAACATGACCATCATCCACAGATGTAACAACCACACAAAAGGAGATGAGACATTTTGTAAAACAATGTAGACTTCCCGGCTAAAAGTTTCATAGTAACCAAGATTTTTAAAGTCCATATAGTTAAAGATGTGACTTTAAGTATTAAAGTATTGTTTTTTATACAAGGACTGTTGCCAAATGTTAATAAAATTGAATGCAAGCTCTTGTATCTTTTTAGTTTTTAAAATGCCTGCTATGTTCTTCTAAAGTAGACTCTCAAATAAGGAGCAAAATTATCTGTGAACACCTAATGGAACCTCTCTGCCCACAAAACACCAGTTTTTTAAATGTGTTTAATTACCAGTGGTGACTACCTAACATTCTTGTAGTCATTAGGTTTCTAATGTTAAAATTACATTCGGCCTGAGGTGTAATGAAAAATAATTACACTGCAGCAATTTCTAGATGTAGTCCACCAAATGCAATTGAAATTCACAGTACCGTTACCACTCCAACTTTGGATCATTACCTCATCAGGATTCTAAGCAGACCGGCTCTCAGGTGTGGATATATAATACCTGCCAGCTTGAACCAAGCCCAGGACACCTGGCAAGTCGGATTTGAAATTATCAAGGGAAAGAAATTGAGGGGCTGTGAATACATAACATAAAGCTGGACCTCCAGTCAAAAGCACGTACATCATGTGTTGTATGAGAATCTAGAAATGTGGCTTTTTTATATAAGAGAAAAGGAAAATCAACTTCTGGCCCATGAATTTCTGATGGTTTCCAGGAACCCCAGAAGCAATGATGTGGTGCGGATCACTGAAGCTTGCGGCATTATCCATCTATTTTACATAATTAAGAGGCTTCGCTTTCTACGGCAGCTGCACTCCTCAAATTTCACAGTGAATCAAGGTTTTATACAAAATAAGATAAAAGTTGGATATTTTAACCATCTTAGCAGAACTCACTTTTGAAGGAAAACTATGGGTAAAGCTTTGGTAAAAGAAAAGACTATGACCCCACCTCAAATTTATGCTTCTTATAAACCTACACTTTCATGTGGGTGGGTTTTGTTTTGTTTTCAGTAAGGACACCAATGGAGATGACTGTGAAATTGACAAACGCCTAGGAGAATGGATAACGTTTATGGAGGGTGGAGGAGGCCAGGGGTTGACAAGCTCTGTGGTGAGCTTCCCCTGAGGGAGCCACATCTCAGGTGGGGACAGGTCCTGGCCATGACACAGGCTAGAGAAAGTGGAGAGGTCTGAGAGCCATGGGTGTGGTGAAAGTGGGAGAAGAGAAACCAACAGTGGCTGGTGGGAGAACAGTTTCATGGGCCAGATGCACCCTCAGACGAGGCAAGTGGGCCCTGCAGAGCGCTGACCATTCGCCAGGGCTCTCCCGAACTCCTGAACAGGCTGTCACCTAACTGGCATGGCAGGCGGCACAGAGGGCAGCGCTGGCCTTGCCCACGTGGCTCCTGTCTCTTCTGGGAACCGTGTACAGATGTGGTTATTAACTACAATAGACAGGACAGTGCCCACTCTACATTCCTCCTCACGGACAACCCTGGAGGGGCCGAGGACCCATGGCACAGAGTCTAAGGGGCTGGAGACGCATCTCTCTCTCCCTCCCTCCTGCCCAGGAAACCAAAAGGAAAGGCGCCTTCTTCCCAGGGCGGGCTGCCCACCCTCCATCTCAAACCTCTCTGGCCTCCCACCAGCCCAGCTGCCCGTGGGTGAAGTCAGTGTCTGGGAACAGACTCTGAAACCTTCCCATCCAGAACGTGACAAAGCCTATGAACAAAAGCTAAATTAGACTCACCAAGATCAAGATGAATGCCAGGGACAAACGAATTGAGGAAAAACATGAAGATAACAAATCCCAACACGGTCAGGCATTTGGCGAGCAGGATCCCGTCAGATATCCTATGCTGTAAGAGAGAAACCACAGCTCATTGTCTCTGCACAACCTTCTGACTCCCGCAGGGCGTCATAACCTACGCAACTGGAACCATGACAGATTGCACGATGATGAAAAACGTGACCTCTCAAACTTGAAAGAAAATGACAAAGTACTGTGTTACAAGGAAAACTGTACAGATTCAGGATTACTGCATTCAAAATCTTTATGAAAGATAAACACAGCAGATGTCAAGAGTAGTACAGCCCTGTTATGAAACACCTGGCCAGCAGGTATCAGAGGATGACGGGGCATTTCTGCAGGCACCTGTGGTGGCAGCGCCGTCTTCACTGTTCCTTTCCCTACCATGCCAAGCATACAGGCAGGGCAATGAGGCTGAGCCTTCTCACGGAACTGTGACTCCCAGATAAGGCTCTGGCCATGCTCTTGACAGGACATGCACAAGGCCCTTGGAACGCAGGCGGTGCACTCAGCGCTGGGATGACACCCACGGGAATCCGCCCAGTCACAGGAGAAGGGCAGGCCCTGAGGCATCTCATCCTCTGCAAGGCCTCCATCAACCTGGGAGTCAGCACAAGACAGGGCTCTCCCTGTGAGGCCTCAAGGGTACTGTGCCCCACAGGCCACGGCTGCAGGGGGCCAGGGCAGGGAAGCATGCACAGATGGGCACCTGGTTGGCCTGCCCTGTCTACCAGGTCTCCGTGGAGACAGAGTCTCGCTCTGTCACCCAGGCTGGAGTGCAGTGGCACAGTCTCGGCTCAACGCAACCTCCACCTCCCAGGCTCAGGTGATCCTCCTACCTCAGCCTGCCTCCCAAGTAGCTGGGACTACAGGTGTGCACCACCATGCCCAGCTAGTTTTTGTATTTTTAGTAGAGACAGGGTTTCACCACGTTTCCCAGGCTGGTCTTGAACTCCTGGGCTCAAGCAATGCTCCCACCTCTGCCTCCCAGAGCGCTGGGATTACAGGTGTGAGCCACCACGCCTGGCAAGCATCAGATCCTTTCTTGAGTCTGGTCCCACCAGCACACCTGTCCACCTATCTGTCTACCCACCAGCACACCTGTCCGCCCATCTGTCTACCCACCAGCACACCTGTCCGCCCATCTGTCTACCCACCAGCACACCTGTCCGCCCATCTGTCTAGTCTGTCTAGGTGGATAGATGCAGACAGCGATGATGATAGGTGTTGACATCTGTAGCTTTGTAGATGCAGGTGGATCTAGACATCTGTCATCACAGCAGTCTACAGCTATCTGGATTTGGACAGACACAGACATGTAGATACAGACACACAGAGGTAGAGCTAGAACTACAGAGAGATTTTCTCTCTTGCTTCCTCTGGTCACATAGGTAAAGCTGCTGCCATCCAAAACATATGCAAGCCCCTCCGTGTCACAACAGCTCTGACACAGCCCCTCCACCATGTGCAGTGAGGCCACCGGTGAGCATCTGCCCCTCTCTGCCCACTGCAAAGGCTCATGGCTCGGCCAGCCCCTTCTCATCCTCCCCGTCGCCCCTCTGGGGAAGGCTGATGTTCCTGCATGATTCTGTGCTGAACAATCAGGACCACAGGAGCATGGCAGGAAAAGGATTTGAAATGCTCAGAGGAGAGTGATGTGGGTTCTCACCAGGTGTGAAGGGAGGCACTGCAAACCTTCCCTGAGGTCGCAGCAACCACAGAAAGTGGCTATTGCCACGGCCAGTGCGAAGATCGGAGGTGGAGGAGCGGGCAGGTCCAAGAGCATTCCAGCATCCTGCAGCTCACGGAAGTGGAGAGTTTTCGGGCGGCATTCACATTCTCTCCTTCTAGATACCTGAGGTCGTTTCTTTTTTCTTTTTTTTTTTATTTCAATAGGTTTTGGGAAGACAGGTGGTGTTTGATTATATGGATAAGTTCTTTAGTGGTGATTTCTGAGATTTTTGGTGCTCCCATCGCCTCAGCAGTGTACGCAGTACCCAATGCGTAGTCTTTTATCCCTCGCCCCACTCCCACCCTTCCCCCCAAGTACCCAAAGTCTATCATATCATTCTTATGCCTTCATGTCCTCGTAGCTTGGCTCCCACTTATAAGTGAGAACATACGATGTTTGGTTTTCCATTCCGGAGTTACTTCACCACTGGTCTCCAAGTTCATCCAGGTTGCTGTGAATGCCATTATTTCATTCCTTTCTATGGCTGAGTAGTATTCCACGGCACACACACACACACCCCTAGGGTCGCTTCTGTAAGAATTCTTAGATGTGATACAGGGATGCTGCCAAGGCTTCCCTCTCCATTTCATCTCACCGTAGTCCTCGTGCAGGTGCACAGAGACGCGCACGGTTCTTCTCCAGCTCACGACTAAAACACCACAATCTAGCAAAGCAGGCATCATCTGTATGAACTTGGGGCCTGCAAGAGTATCACAGCTACACCTTTCTTTTCTAACCCTGACCGTCTACATAGGACAGAGTGTGAAGGCACTGAGGCACCTCATCAGATCGCATCCAACATCTTTATGGAAAATAGACACAAGAGACGTGAGGTGTGCTGAAGCCCCGTTAGGAAACACCTGACTCGCATGTGGAGTGTGCCTGTCACAATTAGAGTGGGTGTTTAGTCTCTCCCTAGAAGATAAACCGCACAGATCTGAAACGTCACCGAGATGCAGATAACTCCCAGCAGATCTCGCGCAGAGCTCTCTCGACTGGGTAGGGGCCCTCTGTGCTCATAAATGGGCTGAGAAAGAGCCAAAAAAAAAAAACCAAAGCTCTGCCCCAAGAAGTTGGAGCCGTCGGCAGGACACTCACGCATCCTATGTCCGTCCCTAAAGCTGCTCCACTTCACGCAGCACGCCTCGCCGTCCCCTCAAAGTGTGAACTCGGGCCTGCCCTTTGGGGCCAGGAGAGGGCTGGTGGTCAGGGACACCCGCTCAGAGGGCAGGCCCCGCAACGCGCAGGGAAAGGGGAAGGCCCTACAAAGACGCTCGCTTTCCACGTCCTGACAAGATCAGCCTGCTGTCTCCAGAAAACATTTCTCCCCATTCACCCAAACACAGAAATTGCAACGTCCTGTGTACGACCACAGAAATAAAAAGAGAAACGGCGTTCAATGTCCCGTGTACGACCACAGAAATAAAAAGAGAAACGGCGTTCAATGTCCCGTGCACGACCACAGAAATAAAAAGAGAAACGGCGTTCAGTCATGCGAGGGAAAGGAAAGGCATCGCTCACTCTCTTCTTGGAGAAGCGAATCCGAAATCCCTGAGAAAAGAAAGCTGCGTACCTTTTTCTGGAGTTCCTGGATATTGGTCTCCCAGTTTTTGTCCTCCTGTGAGATCTGTCTGAAAGAGAAAAAAAGAGACTCATTACTTCCCTGGTCACGTGGAGCAGCAGCCCCAGCACTTCGTCCCTGGACGCCGTCTGCGACATGGCCTGGTAGGACTAGTCATGGGGGGCCAGTGGGCTTCACTGGTTGGCTGGAAAGGGCGCTCACTCTATCTTTTCCCAAAAAAATACATATAATGGCCTGAATGACGAAAGAAGTGCGTGTGAGGAGGTGTGTGGGACAGCTTGCGCACGGGATGCTTCATGAAAACCCCACATCCACACACGGACAAAGGCAGCGACCGTCAGCCTCTTTATTTTCCTCTTTACGTGCACTTCTACGTTCCCGAATCTCTTTGTTTCCAAGATGAGGGCACTGAACCTGCACAACTCTTACAACCAACTAAAGAAAAACATGGTAAAAGAAATGTCACTTGCTTTAACGTTGATTTTCATCAATCAGTGGTCACTTCCACGCCTGAAATCCGAGGACTTTGGGAGGCCGAGGGGGAAGGATCGCTTGAGGTCAGCGGTTGGGGAAGATCGGCTTTGAAGGCTTTTCTGTCCGTGCTGCTCCTGCTGGGGTGGCCTCCTCCTGCCTGTTTCAGCCCCTTTAGTGGCTCCCACTTGCCTCTCCTTTTCCATGTTTCTGACTCAGCCCACCCTCCTGGCTGACTTCCTCCTTCCCCAATTAGGGAAAAGGGGCTGCACAATGAAGAATGCAGTTTTAGTATCAGAGGAGGCTGACCTCACAGCCGGTCTGGGCCGCAAAGAATCACAGCAGACACAGTCGAATGATTCTGAGGACAATTTTTAAAAAGAAAATGTAAAAATAAGACCTGCAGGCGGGCACGGTGACTCACACCTATAATCCCAGTACTTTGGGAGGCCAAGGCGGGCAGATCACCTGAGGTTGGGAGTTTGAGACCAGCCTGACCAACGTGGAGAAACCCCGTCTCTACTAAAAACACAAAATCAGCCAGGCGGGTTGGCACCTGCCTGTAATCCCAGCTACTTGGGAGGCTGAGGCAGGAGAATTGCTTGAACCCAGGAGGTAAAGGAGGCAGAGGCTGCGGTGAGCCGAGATCGTGCCACTGCACTCCAGCCTGGGCAAGAAGAGCTAAACTCTGTCTCAAAAAAATAAAAAAAATAAAACCTGCAGAGCCCAACCTTGCCTTAGGACACCTTCATGGTAATCTGCTTCTCAGCAACGGTGTGGCCTTGGGAAGCCACGTCCTCCCCAGGTCTCCGTTTCCCCATGTGTGAGTAACACCAGATGAGCTGATGGGAACGTGGTGAGCCTCGGAGCCCACGTTTCCTCACGTTTGTAACCTGAGATGCACTAAGTGTGTCTTTAACACCCAACACAGGACAATTTATTCTACCTCTAATTTATGAAGCGTCTTCCTTTAAGATCTGCGCCTGCTGCCAAAGGTGGTCATTTTTTCCCCAGCCTGCAACTCAGGGCCTCCCTGTGGCCTGAGGACACTGGTCCTGCTGCTCCAGCACTGCTGGGCGAGGTGGGTCCTGGGCCGGGGATGGAGCCAATGCCATAGAGCCAGCACTTCCTTCCGGGATTGTGTGGGACTCCGTGGGAATGCCTGGGAATCCTCCCACCAACAGCCAGACCCTGAGACACCCATGCAGGGCGACCCCTCAGGGCTCAGCAAATGGCAACATGCAAGACCATTCTAGACTTTGTTCATAAGGGTTCACATTTCCCTTTGCCTAGATGGACACCTCCACCCACTCGTAGCTCAGCTGTGGGGACGCTTCTGCTTTGGCATCCCTTGGGGGGTCACCAGGCTCCTGCTTCTTCTGTCTGAGCTTCCAGAACAAAGACTGCTTGGAACTCAGCACCATGTCACAGCAAGGAGAAAAAACACCAATTCATGGTTACCCTTTAAGTCCCAGCTTTGATTAACAACAAATGCCAGGAAACAAATTGAGTGGGGCTTTCATAGTCTTTCGGGTGCCTGAAAATCAACTACTGGCAGAATATTTTGTCCGATTAGTCTTTGCATTAATGGTTTTTTGTTTTTGTCATGCAACAATTACCATGTGGAGAGATGGGACAGCCCAGCGGTTGAGAGTGTGAGCTCCATCCCCAGCCGCCACTCCTTCCAAGCTGCACAACCCTGGGCACGCTGCTCAAACTCTGAGCCTCTGGTTTTGTGTTTCGTTTTGTTTTGTTTTGTTTTTGTCCTTAAACTCGGCTGTGTACCCTCTGCAGAGCTCAGTGAGGGTTAGATAAAATGCACTTAGCACAGTGTGCGTCACCTAAAAATCACATATTAGCATACAGCTAGTGTCGCTGTTTTATAGGGCCATGGAACGTTCTGCTGCACACCGGCACAGTCTGAGCAGCACCCCGCCCCGTACCTGTGGAAGGTGTGCAGCCTCCGGGCGAGCAGGTGCTCCAGGGACAGCACCTTCCCCAGCAGCAGGCGGCGCACGGCAGTCTCCTCGCGGCTGGCCGGGCTGATGCGCTGAGCGGTCAGGCGCCAGACGTGAATCTCGTGCTTCAGTTCTGCAGAGAAAGAAAAGGGAAGCTTGAGTCTCCCACGACCTCAGACATCAGCAACACCCTCCTCTGCTCCCCACACAGCCGAGGCCTGACAGAGCAGACACACACTCGAGACGTGCAGGTAGCCCAGGGTCACCCAGAGCTTCTCAGCACCCGAGCTATTGCCATGCAGCCCAGATGACAAAGCTGACATGTAAAAATTATCACAAAAGCGAACGCCATTTCAACCCTTTCCGTGAAGAATAAATTCCTTTCTTGAACAAACACATCAAAGCTAGCGCCCGACAACCTTTTCCCCTTCTTGCAGGAAATATTTCGGATCTGCTTCCAGCCAAAATCTAGACATTGCCCAATCTTTGAGGGGGTTTCAGGAGCAGATCTAGTGACAATTGAAAACACAAGTGTAATTCTCAGGAGAAGGTGCTCAGGGCTCTCCAGCAGGGCATCTGGTAAGCGGCAGAAGACAGGGAGGCGCCCTCCAACCAGGCCCCACTGAGCCTCTAACACAGGCAAGAGAGAGGTAGACGACCTGAAGAAATGCTGGAATCTACAGAACGAGCAGAATTTTCACCCATCACTGAATTCAGACACCTTTTGGTAGAGAAGAGTAGAGAGAAATGATGTGTCAATTCATGGCCTCTTAAGATATTCAAATATTTCATCCTGGCTGACACGGTGAAATCCTGTCTCTACTAAAAAATACAAAAAAAAAACTAGCCAGGTGAGGTGGCGGCGCCTGTAGTCCCAGCTACTTGGGAGGCTGAGGCAGGAGAATGGCATAAACCCGGGAGGCGGAGCTTGCAGTGAGCTGAGATCTGGCCACTGTACTCTAGCCTGGGTGACAGAGCGAGACTCCGTCTCAAAAAAAAAAAAAAAAAGATATTCAAATATTTCATGAAAACCTACATTTAACCTCTATTTTACTGTTAAAAACATGACATGTTTCTTGAAATATCCATTAAAAGAATATAAGAAAGTACAATATCTTCATGAACCACCCCTTACGTGCAATGCCCCACACTACCTATCACACGAATTAAAGATGAAAAGACAAAGCCTTTCAACCAAGCGCTGGGGCACCGGAAGAGCAGGTCGGGGCAGATTCAAGGCGATCACCCAAAGACCCGGGAAGCAGCACAGACATGGTGGGTTCAGTGGAAAGCGAAAATGCCACCTTTCAGCCCCTTCTGCTCAGGACGCGAGTGCTCCTCACCCACGGCGTGGCAGACCTACTGCAACAACAAAGACGCGTTAGGCAGAGGGAGGCAGTCTGGAAACGAAGCATGCGGAGACTCAGAGAAAGCGCAGAGCCTGGGAGCACCAGACTATTCCAGTTAGCACACGGCTTTCTTTAAAGCTTCAGCCCTACCAAGATGAAACCTTTAGAACTAAGATACATAATATGTTTCCATTCAGCACATATCGATGCTTTGTAGCTTTACTAAAATAAAAGAAACTTGGGTATAATTCACAGGCCTCTTCAGAGAAACAGATCCATCATTTCCTCTTGAAAAGTCTCACGCTTCGTTAAACCACCTATGAGCCTATGATAACATAAAAAGAAAGGGGAAGAGGAAGTAAAGGAAAAAACGAATGAACTCGCTCTCTGGAACACTGAACACAAAACCACCATCTGTGGAAGGTCTCCAGTGTGAGTTCAGACAGAGCCAGTATTTCACCCGGTGCTCTAAATCTTGCTAAAAGCCCGTCCACAAAGTACCAGAGACTCTCCGGCCGTTCTCTAAAGGCATCGCCGTGAAGGGCCACCTTCTGAAGCGGCTCGTCAGCTTTAAAAGGCTCACACCTCTGCATGGTTCATCTGGTGCCAGCTGCTGGGTGCAGGCTGGAAGTCTCTCCACGCCTTTATGCTGGAGAAGCAGAGCCTGGGAACCAAGGCTGTGTTGGTGGAGCCGGCCTTCCAGTCCCTGTGCGACGACTGCAGGTGCTCACTCTCCAGGGCAGCCTCAGCCATCTCAGTGTGCACCCAGCACCTACCTGCCTTCTAACCCATCAAACCAAAAAGGATGTGCTGCTCTACTCAGAGCAGCCCACGCATTAATACTCAGGTAATACGCTTTTGTCTTCCTAGTTGTGGAATGTAATACACAAATTAGGAAGGAATTTAGTAGGGAGGGATTTTGCCCAGGAGAAGGGAGCTCACTCCATTCACCCAGAACTCAGTTGACCAAAACCTGTCCACGTATCAGTTCCCAGGCTTCCTCTGCACCTCCTCTTCATTTCCCCACCCTGTCTACTCTGCCGAGGTCCAAGACCACAGACCCAGCTGGCTGCCAATATTTCCCTCTGAACCGTGTGCTGCAAACTCATAGCTGAACACTTTATCTTCCTCCCATAAAGTCTCTCTCCTACCCTTACCTTCTTAGTTTTTATATAATGCAATTGTTCTTCCAGGAACACAAGACTGAAATGTCATCCTGGTCTTGTCAATGTCATTCTCTTTTATATTTCCACATTAACATTATTGTGTCACAGGTGTCAGATCTGTGTTTGATGCTAAAGGATAAAATTTAATTGGTAAGTTACAAGATGGCCTTCCAAAACTGGAAAGAGATGTAAGATAAATCATAAATAAACATATGCTAGGGCAGTGTGAGCCTCAGGAGCAGCCCAGGATATGCTGGCACAGCTCTTGCCTCGTCTGCTTCTTCCTGTCCTAGGTTACCTGCTTGTCCAGGCCTCACCCTCTCACATTTCTTAATTCTTACTGTTCCTTAGTAACCTTTAACTACAGTCACTTCCTACCAATCTGCCCCTGGTCAATCATAAAATACCACTTGTTCTATCTATCTATCTCAGGCCTTTAATCCTAGCACTTTGGGAGGCCGAGGCAAGTGGATCACCTGAGGTTGAGAGTTCGAGACTAGCCTGGCCAATATGGTGAAACCCCTTCTCTACTAAAAATACAAAAA